AGACGGGACGTGGCTCAGGCAGGGTTTTTGCCGTCCAGTTCTAACAAGTGGCCGACGCCTTATGGAAACTTTTGAAAGGCGCTCTGTTTGGGACCAGCCAGCTTGTACTTCATCTGGTTGCTCTAGCCATCTTTCCCTTCCATTTGGAAGCACAAGAAGAGGGGAAACTAAAAATCACTGAGCGCCGCCTATGTGCCAAGAACCAACTCAGCAATTTTACTGTCCTAACGTCCTACACTGTCCTATAAAAGGAGAGAAAAGGCCCACGCGGTGCCTGGTGGCAAAGAAAATGGTGAAGTTGGGCATCAGAGCAGCAGCCCGTGCTTTTTCCAGACACAGCAACCTTCTTTTTACAAGGTCATTTCTGCTGCACGTCTCACTCCTACCCCAAAGCCAAAATTCCCCCGTTTGAACAGGATAAACATTCCCATGGCAAAGGAACGCTGTGTTCCCCAGAGGAGATGCAATCACGTTGTTCCTGCCGAGGCCACGCAGGCTTATGAAACAGAATGCTGGGCTGAGAGCCTGGACCTGGGCTCGGGGCAGCCACCCCTCCCTTGCACCCCCCAGTTGTACCCCACGAGGCTGTTTAAGTAACGGAAGGAGCCCAGGGAGGGGAAATGTGTCTGATCTTGACTCTGCAACAAGCTGCCAGCCTTGCTGGGTCTCTGCTTCCTGTGTCCATCACGAGGTGGAGAACTTGCTTCAGAAAGTGTAGAGACTTACATCCATGTGAGAAACAACACTGCTTTGTTTTCTAGCACCTTGATTTCTCCATCTGTAACTGAGAATATTGTTTGCATAAAGGAGGGACTCAAAGGTGGAAAAGAAAGCGCCTTTTTGGAGACAACTCTGAAGAATACATCATTTGTGCAATCATTCATTCTTCCATAATTCATTGAGCATATATTAAAAGCTTATTATGCATCAGGCTTTCCCCTGACAAAGTAATCAATAAGGTAACAGGCCCTCTTCTTAAAGGACTCATAATATATATACACATTTTATGTCAAAAGAAATATAAAAATGTTTGCAGTCAGGTGGTTAGGAAATAATTTTTTAAGCTACCCATTCTTAACTCCTGCCTGTATACTTGAGCCCAAGTGGGGAAAAAAATCTTGATTAGATGATAAGCATTGTTTTTAATATTTTAACATTTCTGAAATCAAGATGCATCCTATAATTTTGATTGGCAGCATTTTCTCCTTTCTTGGTGATACACAAAATAAAACTACATCCTACAGTTGATAATATCTTAGATTCAATGAAATACATTGGGGGGGGGGAATGTTGCTTTTCAACTGGATTTTTAATGGATTTCACAGCCACTGAATTTAACACAAACTCCTTCCAGAATATGTCTATTTCATCCAGATGTATGGTGTCACGAAAATCATGTGTCTAGATTTCTAGTTGCTCCTCACTTTTTATCTGAATGAGTTGGAAGGAATCTTGTACCAAAAAGCTAAGATGCTTTGTCACCTCCTGGCCACCAGAGGGAGAGAGAGCATTGAAGAGGGACAGGTTGTCAGGTTTGTTGGCTTTTGCTCTCTTAAACCTTTGCCATTTGCTCCCTCCAAAGTGATCTGAAACTTACTGACACTCACCTGCAGGGTCAGAATAGAGAAAAAGACTCTTTCAGAGCAATATTGCAGCACCAGAAAGAGGAGTTGGTTGGATCTGAATATTTGCAGGTCTTATGCTAAAAATCAACTATTGTTTAATGAGCTCCTCCTAGAAATGAGGACAGGTGCTAGACATGGCAGTGTACTGGCTCAGAAATGCAAGGCTGATGAGTGGTCCCATACCCTCCTTAAGCCATTCAAGTCTTATGAGACCCGCATGGTTTCTAAAGTTCTCCAAGGAAATGTTCCCATTCTCATAGTCACCTGTTGCTTTCTGTCCTTCCTTCCCTCCTTCCTTCTCTCATTTAACTATTTACTATTTGAATACCTACTATGTGCCAGGCACTAAGATAGATGCTGCAGTTACAGCAGTAAACAGAACAGAGAAGGTCACTGTCCTCATGCATCTTAAGTGCCAGTGGGAAATAGATGCTATACAAATAAAATTTAATATTGAATGGTGCAAAAAATGCTATAACAAAAAATACTGGGACGCTGACAGCATGTGACAGGAGAACTTTGTCAGCGGTGCATCTGAGGCTTCTCCGAGTGGTTGTTAAGACAAAGCCTGAAAAACAAGTAGGAGTTACCCAGGTAAAGAGCAAGGAGGAGCACTTCAGGCAGGTAGACCACCATTTACAGAAGCCCTGAGGTGGAGAAGTATGTACTTAACACCTTCTAGGCACTAAAAGGAGGCCAGTATGGAGCCCAGAGACAAAGGGCAAGAGAAACAGGGGATGGCCTAATGGGAACTCGGTGACACGGAGCCTTGCACACTGTGTTAAAGACATATTTTTCTATCTGTAGCCATTGAAAGGATTTAAGCAAAGAACTGCCATAAGTGGATTTGAATATTAATATGACAACTTCTATCACCCTGCGGAACATGGCTTGGAGGAGAAAACTGAGAAGTAGGATGTCCAACTGAGAGCTGCTGGAGAAGTGGCAAGGGATAATGTCAGCCATATAGTAATATTGGACATGAAGGTGTATTTTATAATAGAATTACTGGATTTGGAGAGTGGAGGAGAAGGGAATGTTAAATTTGATTCCTGAGATTTCTGAAGGAACAATTTGGAAGGGGGAAAGGACTTGTCCTTGGATAAGCACCTTTGAGGGAAGAGGACAGGACTTGGGAGGAAACCATTATGAGTTGTTTCACTATATTAACTTTAAGCCACTTCTGGAATATCTACATGCAAGTGTAAACTAGACAATTAAGTCTATGAATCCAATGCTCAAAGCTGGGCTGGAAATAGTAGATTTTGGGGTCATGCACATGCAGAGTGAAGATCAAGCCACGGTGAGAGCTGCGTTAACTGGGTCGGATCATCACTAAAGAGCAGAGGGCCCGGAACAAAGCTCTGCAGATGCTCATATTGATAGGAGGAGTCAGCCAAGGAGAGTGTGAAGGAGCAGCCGGAAAGAGGATCAATATGAAAGCTAAAGAGAGGAGAGTGTATCTGGAGGGATGGTCAAGTCCACAAAGTACCGCTGAGGGGTCGAGTGAGATGAGGACTGAAGCACGTTTGGGTTTGCCAGCATGGAGGTCTCACAGCAAGAGTGGGAGCAGCAGAAACCAGCCTGGGGTGGCTAAGGAGAAAAACAAAAAATACCCAGAGTTCATCTGAGGATGGGAAGCATAAACTTAAAGTAAAAGTAGCCTCCCCACTTATGCAATTTTTCTCTAGCAATGTTCAGTTGTGTGACGAGAGTTGGGTTAACGTGGCTGGGATTTCACCCCACGATAATGAGGGAGGGAGAGGAGGAGGAGCAAGGGAGCTGAAAGAAGGACAATGATGGGCCACGGAATTTAAGTTGGTTCAGGAGAAAAGGGCAGAGGGAGGCCGGTGGAGGTAAGGGGTGGAGTGTCTCCAGGCGGGGGAAAAAACTGTATCAGGGGGCACACTTGACCAGGTGAGCTGGAGCTCCAGGAGGTGGAGGCCAGGGGAGAGAGTCAGGCTTTTGAGATTTCACAGCTTGTATGATGTCAAGTCCATGTGGTGATTATGGAAATCAGTGGCTGAAAGGACGAGGAAAAGCAAGTCACTGGAGCTGAGGAAGAGGAGGATCTGCAAAGTCAGAGAATAAATAATGACTTCGTGTCAGTGAGGTCATTGTCAATGCCTGGATATTGAAGAAAACTGTTAGGATCCTCTAAAGTCTTCATAGAATTAGAAAAGTGAGCAGAAAGTCGGTAACACAGCAGGGAGCACTTACAGGGGGGGTATAAGCTTCAAATAGCAGAGGTTTCTGTACAAGCAAGGTATATAGTGATCTGGAAGCAACAGTGAAGAAAAAGAATTACTCTCATTGGGAGCTGAAGAGGAAATAGCCCAGGGAAATGATGCTAATGCAGGTAGAGAGAGAGGGACTTCATCCCTTTTGGAAAAGAACTCTGCAATCTTTTAGCAATGTCTGCAATGGTAAGTGCAAGGGATGCTAGCCCCCATGCCAGGGATCTTCAATCACTGTCATAAGATACACCATCCTGCAACTCAGGGGAGGAAGCATGGAGCAATGGGAAAAATCTAGATCATACTGAGGAGGTTCAAAATCACCTCTCAAAGAAACTATAAAGTAAATGAAGACATAACTGAACTGGAGGAGGCCAAAGAAGACCAGTTAAGATTACTGAATGCAAAGGGGAGAAGTAGAGTACTACCTGGGACAACCAGCATACATTGGGAAACTGAGGACCTTGGGTAGACATTGTTCCAAAACCAGGTCATGGCATAAACCCTGGCACTAGTGCTCCCACACAGAGGGGGAAGGATGTCCAGCCTGGTGCACATAGCATCAAATAGATTATACCAGAGCTTCTTACTGTTTCTAGGGAAGGAAGTGGGGGAAGGGGCTGGAAAGAACACTGAGGACGGAGGGGAGAGAAGGGAGACTGCAGGTCAACTGTAAACAATATAGTTTCCATAGCAATTAATAAAACAAATTCCTCTTTGATCCCCACTCAAATGGAAGAGCCAGATCTGTGTGTATGTATCAAGGGAAAATACATGTACAGCTAGCTACCACAATAAGATAGTACAATAACCAATATAAAAGGTAGAGGAAAAAATATTCTAGATATCAGAAAAAAGGAGAGACATGTATCCTAACTGGGTGGTCAAGGAAATCTTCACAATGGAAATGGACTTTCTTCTAGACTTGGAAGAACGGGGGTAATTTGAAAGGTAAAGGCCACATGGGTGGGAGAATGGCTCCAGGCCTCTCTGGTAGCACAAGCTACTGAAACAGTAGGTCTCCTGTGTGTCAGGTCAGACCTTATGCCTCCTAAGGTCTCTATGCAGCCTCAGCCAAGCCAAGTGGGCCCCATTCTGACACTCGCTCTTTCCCTTTTTCTCACCAGCTGCATGACCAATGAGTGGCCGGACCCGGAAGGAGATGTCTGATACTCACAGCAGCCCTCTTCTGGCAGAGCCTCTTTCCAGCAGATACAAACTCTACGAGTCAGGGTTAACCAGCCCTAGCTGGCCCTCCAGCCCCCAGGATACACACCCAGCCCTGCCCCTCCTGGAAATGCCTGAAGAAAAGGTGAGGAATGTCCCTTGCAGGGTGTTTCCCAGGTGGGATGGGGATGTGGGGGAGAAGCATAGTGAAAGATGCTGCTTTCCCAACTACCCGATGCATGTGTTACATAATGCCACAGAGGGAACACTGTTCAGGGAGTTTCTGCCCCAAATCAATACGTGGTCACACCCGTAATTTGTCCTACTTGGCCTAAATTAGAAATGTGGCTTGTATGCAATATGATTTTAAGGACAAGTAAGAAGTGCATACTTTTACACACCAGTCTTCCAACCAGTCTCCAAAATCTTGATCCTTAGCCCTGCCCATTTGACTTACCTATTGTCCCCAAAAGGAAAGCCTCCATTCAAACACCAGCCTTTTAGCACTCCTTGAACACAGTAGTGCAGAGGTAGCCTGGCTCTAGCTACTGATGCAGTGGAGGGAAATACTAGCCAGCAACAGCAAACCCTGGGGAGAGGGGAGAACCTGATTCCCAGAGTTGCCACACTACCTTATTTAAAACATCCAGTTTTCAACAAACAATTATGAGACATGTCGAGAAACAAGAAAGTGTGAAACAGGAAATAAAGAAGTCAATAGAAACCGTCCTTGAGGAAGCTCAGACATTGCACTTACTAGAAAAAAGACTCCAAATCACCTTTAGTACAATCAAAGAACAACAAAAAAAATACATCTAAAGAGCTAAAGGAAAGTACGAGATGTATGACCACAATATCTCACAAAATAGAGCATCTCAATAAAGAGGAAATTGTGAAAAAAGAAACAAGTAGAAATTCTGAAGTGAAGAAGTGTAACAGAAATAAGATATTTTGTAGAGGAGCTCAACATCAGATTGGTGCAGTCAGAAGAATCAGGAAATTTAAATACAAGCCAATTGCTAGCTTGTTTGTCTAAGGGATTTTCTGAACTAATTCTGGAAAGCTTATATTTTTTTGTCACTGATCTCTCTGCTCAGTTGGCCTGTTGGCCAGCTAATGGCTGGACAGACATTTTCTAAGGGATCTGCGTACATGTTAGGGCATATCTTCAATACTCATCCAGAAGGTTTTCAAGCCTACCTTAGCCTTCACTTTCTGCTTGATTAAGACTTATACTCAGCCAGGTGAGAGTTTAGGGACTTCTCAGTTCCCCATTGAGCATGCACACTGTCCCAGACATGTGCCAGCCCTACGTATGCATGAGGTTTCCTAGATTCACAGAAAAGTGTCCAAGATTTTTTTTAAATATTTTATTTATTTATTTTTAGAGAGAGGGGAAGGGAGGGAGAAGAGAGGGCAAGAAATATCAATGTGTAATTGCCTCTTGCGTGCCCCCTACTAGGGACATGGCCTGCAACCCAGGCATGTGCCCCAGCGGGGAATTGAACCAGTGACCCTTTGGTTCGCAGGCCGGCATTCAGTCCACTGAGCCACCCCAGCCAGGGCAAAATGTGCAAGCTTTTTGAAACCTGTTTTGGATATCCCATTCCCCAGGTGATCCCATTAAGCTTATTGACAAGCTCATTGCTTCCCTCAGCTGTTATCCAGTGCCTCAGGCACAATTTTTTCCAGTGTTCTCAGTCTTCATGGTGGAGAGAATGTTTGGAGATTATTTTTACTGGTATCTTCAAGGCATTTAAGTTTTGATGCAGGTAAGAGGTTGGAGAAATCTATAGACCATCAATGTACAATTGAAATATAATGTGAGCCACATATGTAAGTTTAAATTTCCATTAACCACATTTTTAAAAAGTAAAAAGAAGCAAGTAAAATTAATTTTAATAAATTTTGTTTATCCTAATATATGAATATATATTATTATTCCAATATATTCAATATAATCAATATAAATTATCACTGAGACAATTTGCACATTATGTTTTTATACTATCCTTTAAATTCAGTTGAAGCACATCTCAGTTTAGACTAGCCACAGTTCAAGTGCTCAATAGCCATATGACCTATTGGCTACTATACTGGACAGTGTAGCTTTAGAATAAGGAACCCTAGCCAAGAGGTCCTCAGACAGAATTGAGGGGGTATGAACTTGGATGGGGAAATTAATTTATCTTTATATTTATTAACCTCCAACAAACTTTAGTATTTATTTCAATTATGAATATAGGATATGAACCGTCCTATTCGAACATCCAAGATTTTTGTCATTGTCAGACTGGGTTCTCCAAGAAGCTGACCCAGAGATTTGAATGTAAGAAGTTTACAGGGGCCCTTACCTGCATGGCTCAGTTAGTTGATCACCATCCGGCAAAGGGAAAGGTCACTGGTTCAATACCCAGTCAGGGCACACGCCCGGGCTGTGGACCTGCTCTCTGCTTGAGGTGTGTCTGAGAGGCAATCGACTAATGTTTCTCTCACACATCAGTGTTTGTCTCTCTCTCTCTCTTTATCCATCCCTTCCCCTTTCTCTAAAAAGAAATAAATAAAATCCTTTCTAAAAAAAGAGAAGTCTGCATGGGTATGTCACCAGGGTCAGTGTTTGCAGAGAAATGAGGCAGCAGGGTTAGACAGAAGAACTTGGGCTGCGATGCAGTCGCAGTAAAGGCCCAGCTGCTCCTGTGGTGAGTTCTGGGGCTGGGATGGCTCTGCAGAGCTGTCCTGACCTGGAGTTGAAGATGCCCCAGATATTCACTCTTCACTATTTTGAAATTATAGCAGATATTGGATCTGTCACACCTATACATGCATCACAGGTTTTTTTAAATATTATGATAATTGTATTTCAATGTAATTCATTTTCTTTGTAATCCTACTTACTTTATTTACAAACATTACATTCTGTAAAGAAGTTCATAGGCTTATAAAGCTGCCAAAAGGGATCTGTGGCACAAAGGGTTAAGAAACCCTGCTATGAAGAAAGCATAATAATCCCGGGAACAGCAGGCCTGTGCAGGGTACTCTGGGCAGCATTAGACAGTGCATATTTGTCTTATGATCCTTTATATCAAGAAAAACAAACAAACATGACTACCTTTTTTACCCCCAAATGCCCCCGCTCTCTCAAAACTATATTATCTGATATTTTGTCATGGCTTCTCCTGAAAGGATCTCAGGTCATCCAATGAAGAAAGCCACATCGTGAAAATTGAAAAGCCCCATGAAAGAAGTAAAAGGAGAGAAAGCAGAGCCGTCCCCCGGGGCTCTGCAGGAAGCAGGGGCATCAGCCTCTTCCAAGCAGTGGGCTACCTCACGGGCGAAATGAAGGAGTGCCGGAGCTGGCTGAAAGGTAAGCAATTGCCCAGGGAAGAAGCAGCTGGCCAAGCTGGAGAGACAGCCCTCCCTCTGGCTTGGACCTAGGAAGCCACTCCCCCACTCCCCCACTCCCCCACAGCGGTGGGTGCTTCAGCCCTGAGTTGATTCCAGGAGGGCATAACATACCCTACTGACTTGGATCCCTAAGGTTTCAGAATTCAATGCATTTCACAAATTTTAGTTCTTTGAAAATTCTTCACTCCTTCATGGAATAATGGAATAGCTATAGGATAACCATTTAGCTACATATAAGCCATTTCCCAAATGAGCTGATTGGTCATTCTCTCATTTTTCCTAGCCATGTAGTATGTGCCAAGAAAGTATTGGCCTCACCCTCTCCCATGTCCAGGGTTCTTTCCCTGTAACACCTTCCTTCTCCTCATTTCCCTAAACTGAATGTTCCAACAAACACTCCTCACCTCCCTGCCCCCACCTGGACAGGCTGTCCTGGAAACCAAACCAGAGAAAGAGGCAGGATGCATGTCCCCTCTTCTGGACTTGGCTTCCTCCAGGTCCTGACTCCACACTGATTTTCACAACTGGGCTAAAATCATTTCTTTCCCAGCTTCCTTTTTCCAGACTACTTTGTTGCTCAGTTACCAGCCCTTAATTGAGTCATAGAGCACTACAAATAAAGAGTGCCCTCCCCTCTCCACCTCTTCTCTTAGATCAATGAGTTTCCCTTAGAATGCTCGGGAGGCTTCCTTGCCAGCTGAGCCAATGGCTACAACGGTGGCGTTAAATTGGTCTCAGCATGGTGCCTCAGTCAGTACAGCAAAAACTAACACCCGCCCCAGACTGATTGCCGGGCCTCTCAGAGATGGGCTGGGTGCCAGGCTCAGTGAGGGGAAATGTCCTGGCTTGTGCATCCCTGTCTGTCTTGGATGCCACACCAACCAGGGGTCCAGCAGGGAAACACCGGCTGGACCCGCTGATGGCTCTGCCTGTCTCTTTCAGATAAGCCGCTGGCCCTCCAGTTCACAGACTGGGTCCTGAGGGGGGCTGCTCAGGTGATGTTCGTCAACAACCCTCTCAGTGGGTTCATCATCTTCATTGGGCTCCTGATCCAGAATCCCTGGTGGACAATTTCTGGGGGTCTGGGGGCAGTGGTCTCAACCTTAACTGCCCTCGCCTTGAGCCAGGACAGGTGAGTCCCATTCTACGTTGGTCTTGGGTCTTGAGGCAGGCAGGTGGAGAGGTGATTACTTCCTATCAACCAGGCCAAGGTCTCCTGAGTGTCAGCTTTGAACAGGTCAGTGGAGATCCTTACAGACTTAAACTGCTCCTATGCTCACAGCAAATGACAGTGCCAGGCTCCACTGGACTGCAGAGCCTTCTGGAAACACTCCCTCTGAGGTAGGTGCAGAAGAACACTTAAGCATTTCCTCCCCCTTGGAGCTCGCAGTCTAGTTCAGAGAGATAAGACTAACAGGCAAGAAATGTCTCAGAATAATATAAGACAGCATGTAATGGAGAGTTCAGAAAAGGCAAATTTAAGACAAATATGTATCAGATAAAAATCCAACCCTTTAATTTGTCTTCCAAAGCCTTCTCTGATGGACCCACCCTACCTACCACTCAACTTCGCTCTCATTCCCAGTTGAGTACTTTTGCTTCTGCCTATCTAATCCTACTATTCCCTCAATCTCTCCTCCTCCAGGGAGCTTCCCCTGGTTACCCCAGTGCACTCTGACCGTTCCTTTTTCTCTGAACAATCACAGAATATAACCCATTACTATACTGGATAGTTCTCCAGTCACTTTCTGAGTCCTCTCCCTGGCTGTGTTCTAAGCATGTTTAAGATGAGACTTAACAAGTCTCACTTAAGAAAGCCCAGCTCAAGTGTTCCATATTCTAGTCCAGTGCCTAGAAAACATTTGAGTTTCATTGTTGATAAAATACGTTAGTACCATGTTCTACACCACACGTGCATAACCCTAGGCACCCTACACACAGGTCCTTCCAAAGAACCACGATTTCACCACCGTCTGTGACGAACCACTGACACAACCTCATATCCTGATCAGAACCTGCACCAGCCCCCTCCACCACCACCACACCAAGTATCCCACCTACAAGACCACACTCCCACTAGTCCAGACACTGTATTTAAAGATGATAACTCAAGGTCAGCAACACTGATGCTGCAGTGTCCTGATGAAACATGATCCCATTGAAGATCCTTTTGGCCTTGGGGTTGAACCTAATTTTATATTTTTGATGGTCAGAGCAAGGATGTAAGATAATGGGTTTCCTTTTGACAACCAAACCCAGGAGCTACCAAAGTTTTGGTAAAGAAGAGTTCTAGGATAGCACTCTCCACAGGGAAGGGCAGCTGCGAAGGCAGCCATTAGGGGTCCCCCAAATTTTATCTCCCCTGGGTTCCCTTATCCCCATTACCCCAGCTACATGAAGCCACTGCAGCTGCAGGGCCCCCCACCAGGGGGGCCAACCATTTCTGCTTGGTTTGCCTTAAGCAGCTGGTACTTAAAAAAAAAAAAAAGAACTAAATTCTAACACTGAACACAAAAGGGAAAGTGTAATGAAAATGCAAGCACAATTAAAAATAATGATTGTTCCCAAAACACAGGTTTCTTCTCCTTAGATAGTTACTCTAGTCCCAGGGAGATTCTGAAGAGCAGTGGTCTTCCCTGCCGCCTGCCCCCTTCTCTTTCCAGTGCCCCGATCTGCAGCTGCCCCACACAATCCTGGCCTCCACTCCCAACCACCTCTCTCTCTTACACACACCTCCCTGGTGTCACACCTCAGATTTCTTTTAGATTTCCCACTATATGTAGCAATCTGAGCCTCCCCTGAGAAGGAGAATTTAGACACAGAGAAGATAAAAGTACCTAATTTAATTCTAGATCAGCAAAGGTGATCAAGTCATGTGTATGTATATATATATGTGTATCTGAAAATGTACTGGCAGCTATGTGATTGCGCTACATTCATCGAATAAACTTGACTTTCTTCTATGAGTAACAGGAGAGAGGGACCATGAAATTTGAATGCAGAGTAACTCTGTTTTACTCCAGGTCCGCTATCGCCTCCGGACTCCACGGGTACAATGGGATGCTGGTTGGACTGCTGATGGCCGTGTTCTCCAAGAAGTTTGACTATTACTGGTGGCTTCTGTTTCCTGTGACCTTCACCGCCATGGCCTGGTGAGATACCTCATTCTCTCCGCTCACAGACCCACAAAGCCCCAAGATGGTTGTGTCTTATACTGGATGGGGACATGCACCATCGTAGGGCCCAGTGTCTTCAGAGTCAGACTGGTTTGTCCTGAAAGGCACTGTGAAAGTCCATGAGTTCAACTGCAAGCCAAGAGGATCATTTTTTAATTTGAAATGACAGGGACCCTAGAGCAACAAAGCACCACATGTTTGGTTCTGTGCTCATAGTCTCCCTTGCATGACAGGCTTCATAAGGAAAAGCTAACATTTACTGAGTATTTCCTACATGCACAGTCCTAAGCAAAGTAGAGCTATTATTGCCCTAATTGACAGAAGGAAAGACTGAGGCATTCAGACCTTAAGTAACTTGCCCCCAGGGCACACTCAGTAAAAGGCATCAGGGTTGGCATTCTGAACCCAGAGCCTATGCTATTAAACTCCAGGCTATATGGTCATCATCTATCCTGTGGCCAATCCAAGATCCAAAAGCTGTAAACTTGCTTGTGACAGAAGCATAGAGCTTTCCTGGCCCAGAACGTCTATATTTAAAGCATAGACTCTGAATGAGATGCATCAGTTGAGATCTTACTGTGAAATCACCTCATTTTGCAGAAGAAAAAGAAAAAAAACAATGTAGGAAGAGTATTAAGAAGAAATATCCAACGAGTGTGGGGTGTGCTAGGTCTTTTACTCACATGAGCCTCAGATCACTTGCATCTGCAGCAGGTCTGGAGTGTCCGAAGGTGTCTGTAGCGTGCTCGCTGTCACACACAGGCAGAACCCGTGTCCCCAACCCCTGTGCTCACCTCCCAGACATGCTGACTGACTTTTAGCATCCCTAAGAAGTAAATTCCTTTCCTGGTGTCAAAGTCTAGAGTAACTAAAAGTAGTTTAATTTGGTTTCAGTACTGTTCCATTACTTTTTAGTAGTGCTTGCAAATAAATTACTACATTAAGCATCCTGGGCAATTTATGTTTCTTCTTAGGGTCTCCTTCTCAGTCTATCAGAACAAGCAACTAAAGCAGTCATTTCTATGGGGATTTCCTTAATGTCTCCTGCAGGCACCTCTCATTTTCCCTCCACCCCCACCCCGACCGCCACCCCGCACCTGTAAGGAGTAGGAGGACTTGTCTTCATTTGCATACATTTGGTTTATGACTGCATAGGTTGAACCCCTCAGCACAGCTCCTCAAACACATTGCACTGGGTGGTAGTTTGTCTCCAGTGCCCCCACCCCACCCTTTCTTCCCAATTTTAAAGATAAAACACCACTGAGCATGCTACTCCGGGCTGAGCTCTGGGCTACTACTGTAGTTGTTCACTCATCTCCTATAGTCCTTGAAATAGAACCCACAAGGGAGGTCTTAGTAGTTTCATTTTCCAGGTTTGTCCAGCAAATATTTGCCTTGGTTCTGCTATGTGCAGGGAGTATTCTAGGTGTTGGGGATCATTGTGAACAAGAGAAGGTTTCCATCCTCCTAGAGCTGACATTTTTCTTGGCAAAGATAGAAATAAATCCATGAACTGATTAATTAAAAAGATCTTCTCAAGATATGATAAGTATTTTGAGGAATGAAAAATGAGACAAATGGAACAGAGAGTAATTCCAGACATGGGTGTCAGGAAGGCCACTTTGCAGAGGGGACATTTGTCCTAAATGATAAATAAGGAGGCACCTGGCATCTGAAGACCTGGGGGAAGGATGCTGCAGGCAGAAGCAGCAGCACAGTCACAGATCCCAACTGGAGAAGTGCAATGTGTTGAAGAAAGGGACCAGTGGGGTGGGAGCCCTGAGCGGAGGAGGCAAGGCAGGAGGTGAGGGCAGAAGAGGAGGAGGGCCAGACCCCCTATGCCTTGTAGCACCAGTGAACCTTTGGATTTTCATTACAACTGTGATGAAAAACAGTTAAAGAGTTTTAAGCAGAGGAGTGATAAGGTATAGTTTAAATTTAAACAAACCACTCAGCTTGCCATATGGACAACAGATTTTAACTGGACAAGAGTAAATGCTAGAGGCATAGTTAGGAGTTGGCTGCCATAGCCATAAGGGCTGAGAGTGGTTAGGAGTAGAGTGATGTCCAGGAAGGTGGTGAGGAGTGGTTGGGTTTGGGTATATTTTAAGGAAGGTAGAGGCAACAGAACTTCCTGAGAGGCTGTGGAGTATGGGGGTTGTGGGAGATGACTCAGATACTCCTATAATTTGCCTGAGCACCTGGGTTGATGGAGAAGACTAAGAAAAACAGATTGGTGGTTGGAGACAGGATGCAAATGGACGGTTCTCTTTGGACATATTAAACTTCAAACTTCCAAGGAGAGATGTTGAGTAGGTCATTGAATGTACAAATCTAGAACTTAGTGATATGGTCAAGATTTGGAAGACAGAAACATATAGAAGATATTTTTGTCCATGGGACTAAAGCTATTACCCAGAGAGAGAAGATTTAAAGAGAGAAAGAAAGAAAAAAAACCCAAGAAAGAGTCATAGGAGCCTCTCATATTTAGAAATTGGCAGGAGAGGTGAAGGACCACTGATGGAGAATTGAGAAGGAGCAGCTGGAGAAGTCAGAAGAAAACTAAGGATGTGCAGTTGTAGCAAGTCAGTCAGAAAGTGTTTCAATCCAGTCAGTGTGTCCAAAAGTCCAATGAAGAGGGCAGGGAATGACCATGGATTTGCCAAGATAGATGTCATTGGTGAACTGGACAAGAATCATCTCCACTGCATGGGGAGAACTCTGGTTAGAGTGGGTTTAGAAAAGAATGGGAGTAGGAATATTGGGGGTAGCAAAGATAAAGACTACTTTTCAGGAGTATTGCTGTGAATAGAAGCAGAGAAATGGGGCAATGACTGAGCAGACATCAGATTAAATGGGAAGGATTTGTAAAGGTGAAAGATAGAATATGTTTGTATATTTATGAGACTGATTCAGAGAAAAAGGGGAGAGAGGAGAGAATCTGTCTTTGAGACAGATTGGGTCCCAAAGCACCAGGAAAAGAATTAGCCTGATAGAGGGGCAAGAACACTTTCATTGGCAGAGAGGAGAGTATGTGGACCCAAGGCAGTTGGAGTGTGGATCCTTTGGTTGGAGAAATGAAGCATTTCTCATCTTGCCATTTCTGTTTTCTGAATGAAGTAAAGCAAGATGGTTAGCTGACACTCAAGGGAAGCACATGTGAAGATTTGAGGAGAAAGAAGGAAGCGTGAAATAGTTGTCTCAGGATTGGAGAGTTAATTTGCTAGGAAAGTGTAATAGGGTTTTCAGACAGTCTTACATGCCCATTTGTAATTCATAGTCATTAATTAAAAGTAGACCAATCAACTAGATCATGTGATTTCATATTTTGTCTTGAGCTCACAGAGTGCAGAAGTAGGGTGTCAGGTGTCTAGGGTGTCTGAACCCTTCTAAGGAAACTAAAGGTAAGGAAGATTAATTACCTAATTAATCACAGCCTGCAGTTAGAACTTGCACCTACTTCCCTCTTTCTCCAAAATCTATGTTCTTCCCAAGGAAGAAGCCAAGAAGAGAAAGAACACAAACAACTCAAGGTTTCATTTTCACATGGTGGTTCCCAGAGCAGCTCAAAGTACTTTAACTGAATCTAATCCTGTGTGTAATCTATGTGCCATAGCTACCTCCTCCTAGAAGGCCAGACTCCTAAAATATCATCACAGTCCAGCATAGCAGCCATTGCACAGCTTAATGATCCAAAGGTAATATATGATATTAAGTAAGAATTACATTTTGTTCAGCTTTCTTGGTTTAACTTACAAGGAAGTATTTAAATTATTTTAAAAAGCTTTCTGTTCAAGACAAGTTATATAACTTTTACATTTTGTTTCTCAAAGGTACAGCCTTAAATTGAACTCCCTATTCCCAATCGCAAATCAATGAATCAAGGGGGCCAGGAATGACTGTGCCAAGAAAAAAGGGCAGTAAATGGCGCGGTGGCCAGCACAGATGAGATGGTGTAGACCTAAGAATGATCACAGTGATGAACCCTTTGTTTCTTCCATCTTCAGCCCAATTCTTTCTAGCGCCTTGAATTCTATCTTCAGCAAGTGGGACCTCCCAGTCTTTACGCTGCCCTTCAACATCGCAGTGACCCTGTACCTGGCAGCCACAGGCCACTACAATCTCTTCTTCCCTACAACACTGATAGAGCCCGTGTCTTCAGTGCCCAACATCACCTGGACAGAGATAGAAGTGCCCTTGGTAAGTTACCCCATGGCAGAAGATTTGGGCCCCCTTGCTTCCACCACAGACCTGCTCATTCATGGGTTTGTATATCAACCAGGCTCTCGGCCTCTCTACACACCTCTCCCTCACATGGTGGGCCTGGTGTGGAAGAGGACAGGAAAGGGTCACTGCCACCTCCACATGCTCTTTCAACAAACCTTTCTTGAAGACCTACTCTGTGCTAGGCACTTTGTCAGACACTGGACTACGTGTGAACAACAACATCCCTGCCTTAGTGAAGCTTACATTCTGCACAGAAAAACAGACAATAAATGAGAGTCCATATGTGTTCAGTTGACAGTATAGAATGGTGGGATTGAAGGGAAAATATTATATAAAATGGATAGTTGGGTGAAAGGGCAAGACACTAAAAAAAATGTTTCAAATTAGGATTTAAAAGATATTATCAATAGAATGGGCAAGTGAATTTTCATGCGCCTTCCATATGAATGTTTCTTAAGCAGGGGTGATTTTGCCCTCCTGGTGAAGTAGACAATGTCTGCAGACATTTTTTCATTGTCAAGGCTGGGGATGTGTGGGTGTTACTGGCATCTAGTGAGTAGAGGCCAGGGATGCTGTGAAACATCCTACCATGCATAGGGCAACCCCCTCACCACAGCAAAGAATTATCTAGTCCCAAATGTCAATAATGCCAAAATTGACAAACTGTGTTTTGTACCCTACTATCCCAAATGTACATATTCATTTATTCTACTCATCTCTAGACATCATAGATGAAGGGATGTAATAGAAAGCTAACATAAGGTAATATATATAGAACTGTGACATTTTGGCCCTGTTAACAAACCTTGAGATAGCTAACAGCTAACATTAAGGCAAGCTTATTATGCATTAAATGCTATTCTAAGCCCTCAGCTTAGTAACTCATTTAACCCCCATAAAGACCCCATAGCAGAAACATTATCATCATCCCCATTTTACAGATAAGAAAACTAAGGCACAGAGAAGGCACCTTGTGCAAAGTTAACCTGCAGCTAGTGCCTGAGCTTCCAATCCAGGCAGCCTGACGCAGAGCCCAAGCTTCAAACCACCACCCCCTCAGGGCACAGCAGGCCCTGCATGCTCAGCTGGGAGCATAACAGCGAAGTGAACCCCTCTGCTCTCAACGCAGCACCCCATGACCCCGTGCCTTTCAGGGTTGGAGGGTTCTTTACATTCCTCAGAAATCTCCCTTCATTTTCCATGCATTAGTTCTAGCTCTCCTTTTTAAAGTAATTTAGAATATTGTTTCCATGGCCACCTTTTGAATATTTGAAAACACTACTTTTGTCCTCAAATACTGTTTGTGTGACGTGATTTCTGAGCCCTCTCCCCACAGCCATGCCTGTCATCTAGATGTGCTTGAACCTCAGTGTGGCTCCGCTGCTGGGTATTCAGCCCCAGGCCACCATCTGGGGCGGGGTGGACAGTGCCGGTCCTCCAGGGACAGGCACACTGCAAAGCTAACCCTATCCAAAAAGAAACCCCCCACCACCACCCGCCCCTAGTGGCAAATGCCGTGGCCAACCATTTTTAAAGTTTTTTTCTTTTTAAAGTTTTGTGTAGGGCTGGGGCTACAGTAGGATCAGAGGCAGGGTTAGGGCCTAAATCCAAGAAAAGAGAAAACACAGAAGCCTGCGTTTAAGGGAAAGCCTGCCCTCTACAATGGAACATGGCTGGGGTAGAGGCAGGGACCAAACTAACTTCGATAGAATAGTCCATGATCAGCCATCCAGCCATCAGGCACATGGCTTTTGGGGCACAAACCTGCTGTCCCAAAGCTACACCCATGAGGCATGGTCCAAGTGACAGCTGCAGTGACATGTGCTGTTGCCAGAGAGAAAGGCCACCCACGCATCCTGTACTATGTAGCTATACAGTCCAGTGCTGCGGGGACCAGAGCGGACAGGGCTACAGGGAAGAGACACCTCTTGTTCCTCTTCAAAATAAACATTGAGAAAGTGGTAGGACCCAAATCCACATACCCTGAACCCCAGGCTCACTCTCTGAGCTCCCCAATGCACCACCTCTCTGACAACAGGCTCCTTCTCTTCCTCACCATCCACAGCTGAGTTTTGAAGAATCAATGCCATTTCCCTCTTTCTCTTTCAAGCAATGAAGGGAGTGACTTCCTTTTTGTTGAACGGGCATGTTGTTGTTTCATGAGGATTATTCGGAGAATGAGGAGGCTGGTGCTCAGTAAATTTCCACGCACACCTGACTGCCCCTCACACCAGGGTGTCAGCTGTGTCCTGGAGAGCAGCGCGAGGGGAGGGCCGGCTGCCCGGGGCCACAGTTCACCCGGCTAAAATATGGGTCCCGGTGGAGGAAGCTTCATTCTAAATCCAGGCTCCACTCCAAGGCAGCTTGTCCCCTCATTCCTCTCATTCTTGACTGCTTGGGCTTAAAACCCATGTTCCCAGATGGGAAGGTGGGAGCTGGATCCCCCTCGGCATCCTGCATTCCTCAGGCTTTGGGAAATCGTGGAATATTTACCGAGTAGATTTCCAGCCTGTTCCCCCACTTCAGCTCAGTTCCCTGGACTTGTACAAAGCGTTTCCAGGGCTCTTCTAAACAACACAGGGTCCCCGCCCTGTCATTCTTTGCACAAGTCCATAGGATCTGGCCTAAGCAGTGCTTGGTTATTAAAAGGCCACCTACTCAGAGACAGGGAGGCACAAAGCTTAAGAGCTCTCTGAGACTCCTTGAACAAAGAAATCAGGCTAACTTCAGAATTCAGTCAGGTTGTTAAAAAGTTAAAAATTTCACCAATGGAAGAAAGACAATTAATTTCCAACATCTACAGTAGATTATCAATAACTAATCCATGGATCCCCAAATCTGTTGCACATTGGAAAGTCCTGAGGCCCCGGTCATGCTCCACACCAGCTAACTCAGAAAGTCTGCAGAGGAGCCAGTCATCAATATGTTTTTAAAGATCTTTTGGTGATTCCAATATACACAAAGTTTAGAAACCACTAAGCTAATCAATAGTAGTTATTAAATGCCCATTATGTACCCAGCCATAAGGGAGCCCTGTCCTCAAAGAAAACATGGGCCCTGGTCATGGAGAAAAGCGTTTTAAAGCTGGAGGATTGTCTGCTAGTGCAGCCTCCTCATTACAGAGAAGGGCACCAGAGCCCTGAACAAGGAGGGGACATGCCCACAGTCACACAGGACCTTGTGCAGATCCCACCTGAAAGCTGGAGCCCTTGACCCTCCCAGACAGTACTCTCCCTACCCTGCCAGTCTCCCTCCCTTCCTTTTTGCCATCAAAGGACAGCCAAAATGTGGGTGATGTAGTTTGAACAGAAAAAGGCCACCTGACATCACTTCCAATTAATCATCTTCAATTCCAACATGACCAAATGGCACTCGGGCTCAGGGAGGTTGGGCCGCGTGCTCTCCTCCAGATGTTCTTCACATTACCTTTCTTCAATGCTGAGTGCTCTTCCACAGCAGGGAAGTGCCTCCCCCTCATGATCCCCAGGGTGGCCCTGAATGTGCATCAGCCACCAACAGGCTAGGGGTCAAGCTCAGAGGCTGTAGCCTGGGCTTGGCCACCAATGTGCTGAGTGACCTTTGGTCCGATCATCCATCAAAATGCCCTAGACTATTCCCAATATTCCTGGAATATTTCTAGGATTTCAGAAAGTCTAGAGGAATTTTGTAGTATGCTAAAACCCCTAATGTCAGTCTAGAGAGAAAGTGTCCTCTGGTTCCCTCGAAGCAGAAGCCATGTGTCCCTCAGAAACACTGAGGCCAGCCCCCATGTTGGGGAGCCCCACTTGGTTTTGCATGAGGGATGCTCAGATGCCTTGTAGGTGGTGGAGTGAGGAGCTATTTGTTCCAGCTGGTGCCCTCCCATCTTCTCTCACCTGCTGGAGGGCACAACCATACTCCTGTTCCACCCCATTACCCACCCACTGCCCCAGGAATGGCTCAGTCCAAGCCCCATGGCCTAGTCTGTGCATTATCAGCCCACACTCCACTCACCTGGATCCTACTTACTTTGCAGCTGCTACAAGCCATCCCCGTCGGGATCGGTCAGGTGTATGGCTGCGACAATCCCTGGACGGGTGGCGTGTTCCTGGTGGCTCTGTTCATCTGCTCACCACTCATCTGTTTGCATGCAGCCATTGGCTCAATTGTGGGGATGTTAGCAGGTAGGGTGGGGCCTCTCTCTGCAGGGATGACGTTCTTAAGGTCTTCCTCCCCGACACACAACAAATGTTCTAGACTCACTATCTTCACTGGGCTTTTTAAACACTATCAGGGGAAGGAACTTACTTTTCTGTTTTTTGACTCTCCAAAGGGAACAGATTGTATTAGTGGGACATGTGGAGAGAGGCAAGGGGGATGAAGACCCATTGGCCAGCAGACTGAGCCCCTAGGAGCTGAGGGGTGGGAGAAAGTGGTGGGGAGCAGAAGCTGACCAGGCAGGGGCGCAAGTGAGCTGACACTTTGAAATTGTGAGTAAACTAAAAGAACAAATGTTCTCAAAAATTGTATTGCCACTTGAAAAATGGTTTAATATTTCTCCATATATGGACATATGTGCACACACATTTATATGTGTGTATGTGGACAATAGTCAGAAGTTAGAGTTCAGGGCATTGGGAATAGGAACCTATTGACTTATTCCAATATTTTTCGAAAACATCTTAGAAGAACTGTTTTAAAAAAAAAAGTTATCTGGAAAAAATTTCAAACTTATCAAAAATAAAAGTAACACAAGAAGCACCCATAATTCTTTACCCAGATTCACCTGTTGTTCACAGCCCACCCATTTTACTATTTCTCTACCTCCGTTTATCTATGTGTGCACATTCACACTTTTGTCACCCATTGGAAACAGAATGTTTTCAACTGAAATCTTTCTTGCTGAAAATGCAGCTGCTCTGGCCAAAGAGAAGGTCTGGAGTCCCATGGCCTTGTCCACCCCTCACCCTGGAAGCAGCCATACATCAGTGTGAAATCTCTGAAAAACTGTTTGGAAACCACTTCTCTCTCTCAATTGTTGGTTTCTAAAGACCAGACACTATCTGTAGGTGTTCCTTTTGTGGGTGAGGGTTGGGGGTGTAGGGGGAATGGCTGGAAGGAGACTACCCTGAGTCCTAGCACCAGCCACAAGGTGGCCTTGGTGCTGTGACCCAGAACCAGCCAGAAACACCAACCTTGTCCCACAGCCCTGACAGTGGCCACGCCCTTCGAGATGATCTACATGGGCCTCTGGAGCTACAACTGCGTCCTCTCCTGCATCGCCATCGGAGGCATGTTCTACGCACTCACCTGGCAGACCCACGTGCTGGCCCTCGTCTGCAGTGGGTATTTGGAAAAGCTGACAACCAAGTTACTCTGCTATTTCTCCCTCCTCTACCCCATACCCTTGGTGATGGAAAAGCCAGGAGGACCACTAATCAGAACTGAGCACCAGTGATAGAAAGACCAGTGGCCGGGGTCTTTCACGGCTAAGGGACTTGAGGTTCCCCCTCTGTCAGCTAGAGTCACACTCACTATTACTGCTGTTATAGTCACACAGCACTGGAACGCTGACAAGGAAATCACATGTGCATGTCCTTGCGTGCTAGTGGCAGCATTCCTGCTCCCAATAATTCTTCATTCACCAACGGTTTGTAGGGCACCAGTAGGTATGAGGCATGGCAGACACATGGTGACCACATCCTTATGAAGACATGGTCTAGCAGAAGAGAAGTCATTGCACAGTTATTAAGGTTGTGATGTCTAAAAAGATGTTTGGAAAGATCTAGTGAGAGAGTGTACCTGGGAACACTGAGATCTAAGAAAAATGACACATAGCTCTGTGGAAGCTTGAATTTCATAAAAAGAGAACGCTGTGTCCAAAGACAAATCAGCCACAATCTGTGCCCAGCAAAGCACCATGCTCTGTGAACTCACTTAACCCTCCCAAGCTCACTGCTGGGCATAGTTGTCAACCCATTTTACAGATGAAGAAATGAGACTCAGCGGGGTTAGCAAACCTAGAACACAACTACTAATGGCAGAAGCAAGATTCAGACCCCAGTCCTATCTTTCCACCAGCCTTCCTGCCCTGGTTTCCTTACATCACCTGGAAACAGCAGGATTTTAATAAGCAAAACTAGAAAAAGGTAAAGGGCAGAATACCATTCAGAAGAGCTTTTTTTTTGTTTTCTCCCACTTCAGTGTGAAAAAGCTGAGTGACTTTCATGTCCCTTGTATATCCGTCAGCAGCCAGCACAAGGGTGGACATGGAGACAGTGAACTCAGTAAATATTTGTTAAGTCAAAGTGCCAGATATTTTGAGGTTCCTAGTGTAACTACTTTTGGCCTTCAGAAGAGGGGCAGCTTCCTGTGGCTGGAATCACCTGGGAAGGCTTCTGAGGGAGGCAGAAGTTCATCTCCACACTTTTGGGGTGGGGGTAGGATTTGTACAGGTAAATAGAGGGGGAAGGTGTTCTGGACAGAGAAGCAAGAGGCAAAGGGGCAGGGGCAGAGGAGCTTGTCCAGACACACCAGGGGTGTGGCCGAGCTCCCCTACTGGTTCTGGCTGCCCATATCCTGTGGTTGAACCCAGATGCCTGGCTCCTAAGGATGAGCTCAGAGACCCAGTAAGGCCCAGCTCTGATGGGACTTGGTGAGAGTCCAACAGCAGCATGGTCACTCAGAATCTTAGGCCGGAGGGGCCTTATCTGGAGCTCATGCAGTCTGACCATCACCCCCCACCCCAGACATGTAAACATCTAGTCATCCAACCTGTGCTAGATCATCCCCCAGGTCAGTGTGGACAAGTAAAAGCTGCTTAATGACCCCTGAACTTATGCAAGGCCACCATGGAAGTGGGAGGGGAGAGGAAGTGGGAGTTACATAAAACACATGTAAGCTTTACTCTCTGCTTTCAGAAAATGTACGGTCTGGTGGGAGATGGGCCATGCCTACCTGCAAAGATAACTAATAATGTCACTCACACATGTCCAATGTCAAGATGCGGTGTTGAGGCTGCTGGAGACAAGCTGGGATTCCTGTTCTTGGGGCGGGTTGCGGGTGGGCCCTGGGAAGCGGACTCAATGACCCTTGCTCCTCCACAGCCCTGTTCTGCGCGTACATGGGAGCAGCCCTCTCCAACATAATGGCAGTGGTAAGTTTGGACTCTCCTGAACACTGCACCCTTCCCTAGCCAGGGCTTCAGGGTGCTTGGAGCCCTGTAGAAGAAATCTAAGGGGGTTATGGTAGCTGATACTCTGCACAATGCCTTTCTCAAGGTTTATCCAGGGTTTATCCAGAGAAGGACTAGCAATTAGTTACATGTGCCTCTGATATGTGCATGGTGTATGTGTGTGTGTGTGAGAGAGAGATACAACATTCAGTGGACATCAAGGATGAAGAGATAGAAGTACTTGTATTTAGGTAGATATTGGAGGTCATCCATTCCTAGGCCAATATTCAGCTCCATCATTAAAAGATTCTGGTTATGTCCAGTGATGACACCTCAGATTACTAAACCAACTCCTCTGTCCTTATGACCCCAGCAACCAATGCTGGCACTGGGGGAGGGTCCTCATCCCCAACCCTTACCACATCCTTCTCCTCCAGCATCCTGGGAGCCTAGAAACATTTTCAGACCCCAGTGCTTTTGTTTCCAGGTTGGCGTGCCACCAGGCACCTGGGCCTTCTGCCTCTCCACCCTCATCTTCCTGCTCCTGACAACCAACAACCCCGCCATCTACAAGCTGCCCCTCAGCAAAGTCACCTACCCAGAGGCCAACCGCATCTATTACCTGACAGTGAAAAGCAGTGAAGAAGAGAAGTCCCCCAGTGGTGACTAGCCAAGTTCCAGGCGGAAATGCTCTTTGCCTGGATGTTGTGTCTGTTCCCTGTGGTCTCAGTTCTGGGTCAATCAGCTACAGCACCCACCTTCTTTGTCTCTCCTTGCACCTGTGTGGAACCAAACACACCTAAAACTCTCTTTCCTGATGTTGGTTTTCTCTTTCTGTCCAAATTGCCTTAACTATCCATCAGGTGATGTTAGAGGAAGTTGGTAATGAGCTTACTGGAGTCAGAAGCAAGGCATATGTTTTAAATGTCATCGACTTAAAACAAGAACATTTTTTGTATTTAGTCTTTTGGGAAGATGATTAAGAGATAATCTTGTTGGCATGTTTAACTAAATAGATGATTCAAAATTGAATTTGCTGAATGGTTTCTAGACAGACACAGAGTGGGTGAAAATTCAGGGGACATCTGCAAAGAATTGAAGGTGTCATAGTACACAAAGATAGTGGTTGATGGACAGATACAGCTTTACATAAAAAAGGAATTTCACACTGATAAAGTTTTAAAGTTCAGATAGGGACAACTAGGGCAGTGGAAGTGTCTAAATAGGGAACCTTGAACATTTAGTGGTCAGAGTAATGGGCAAGATTATATTCCATAGCAGATAGGAATTAATTAGAATCCTATATGTGACTTTCATTATGAAGGATAAGCATTTCTCAGTGTGGCTCAAACCAGCCACTTTGGGCAGAAGTTACAGTTGAGGAACATACTTGAGCTCATTTGTTAATAGCTAGGGAAATTTATTCCATTTTCTTATTTGCCTATGGGTATTTGCCAGGCTCACCACCATGGGAGGAAGTAAAAACCATGACCCTTCAGAAACCTGGGAGTTTCCAGCAGGAAGAGCAGGGGACTCATAGAATCTTGATGCAGGAAGGGAGTGTGAAGGCCAGTTGGCACCCCCATCCTGTGACACATGATGCCTCTACAGGAAGCAGGAGGGCTTCAGCTCCCTCCCAGGCTTCCTGCCAGGCCTCAATTACCCAAAATGGAAGGGAGACCTGCAAGGTATTCTAACAAGAGATAACCAAACCAGAGATCTCTACTCTCCATTAAGCCCTTGAGAAACTCCATCCAAGAACTAGGTTGGATAGGAACTGTCTTTGATTGGATATCCAAGAGAGGAAAACTAGTTGGATATGAAAATTCTTCCATTTCACTTGGGCAACATTATCTCTTACCCTTCCTTCTCTTCCCACCCTACTTCATAGTTTATCATTTACAAGGTACCACTTTGGTCACAGGTATCTGAGTTTTGGGGGAATTTTCCTCCCAAGTTCCTATTTTAACCCCCCTAAGAATGAAAAGTCAACTGTATTACAAGCTGCCAAACTCATTTGAAGGCAAATTAATAAAAGCTAAGTTAGTCAGAAAAAGGAAAAAAATATGTCCAGCAAGTCTGGAAGACCACAGGGCCCCAGAAATTCTCTAATACACTGCGATCAAGATGGCCAGATAGTTATGTAGAAATAGAAAAACAAATTATCTGCTAGTTTGATATAAGACAGAAATGCCTGGATGAAGTCGTGTTAATCACTGAATTCATTTGCCAAGAGAAGTCAGACAGGACTGATGAAATGGTTTTAAAAAACACTTTTGGGGCTAAGATGCAGAAAATTGATGGCATTTCCCAAATGTGGTTATACAAGGTCTTCCTAGAGACAGAACAAATCTCGTGAAGCCAGGTCAGTGGGCAGATGCTACGTCTCTGTCCTGGGCACAGATGAGGGTGGGGCAGAAGTGAAAATCCCCACCCCTCTAAGAAGTCTGCCCAGTGCAGGTCACCCTGTCCACAGGCCATAGACAGATGCCCAGATGGCCTCTGAGGTAGCCCAAATAGCCTCATGGAACAGGAGAGCTCCCCGCAGCAACCCTGTTCCACTTTCACCAGCATCTCCCCATCTCACTGCGCCGCCCCCACCCCCCAACAAATGAGTAGAGGCAGGAACCCTAAACTTACAGACTCACACACCAACATGAGGTTGCATGGGAGCAGGCCACCAGATAGTTTCAATTATCACCCCAAACTACCAGTAGCTCTTTGCTGTATAAATAATAACTGAACAGAAGGAATGGAAGTGTGGGACTGGCGAGAAGAGGGCTTTAGAGGAAACCCTGTCTCAAACTCTGTGTTTCTATCACAGACACCGCTTTCTACTGTCCCCTCCCCAAATCCTCTCATCTCTTCTCCCTCTGGCCTCATGGCTGCCCCCTCCCATTTTCGTCTTCTCTCCTGCATTGAAGAGTTCTGTCAAGTGTGGAACAGTGTTGTCCTGCTGCATTTTTTAAATCATCAATTTCAAATCATCTTTCCAGTTGCTATTGTGATAACTGACATAGTCAAGTTTCCTGCTCCTTCTTGGTCAAATTTGAGAGTTTGTTTGCTGGAAAATAATCCATTTTCTTTAGTTTTAAAATTTTGACGCCATAGAATTACTCATAATGCTCTCACAACAATGCAGTCTCTCCTCTATCTGTGGCTCTGTCTCCTTTGTGCTTTCTAATCTAATGTCATTTTGCTCTCTCCTTTCCTTAATCAGGATTGGGAGAGATTTGTTCATTTTATTGGCTTTGTCAAAGAAGCAGTTTGGAATTAATTTGTTATTTCTACTTGTTGTGCTTTGTTTTCTGTTTTATTGATTTTTTTTCCTGTTTTCTCATGGTTTATTTAAATGTTCTTTTTTCCTCAATGTTTATAAAATGGATGTAAAGTTTCTTCATTTTAGATCTTTCTTCTTTAATGACAATGACATTTTAAGGCTATTAATTTTATCCTGAGTATACCTTAAGCTGCATACTATAGGTTTTGGAATAAGATATTCTACTTTTATCAGTTTTTTAAATAGTTTGTAATTTTAGTTTTGGTTTCTCTTTGATCCAAGGATTATTAAGAATGTGTTTCTTAATTTTCAGCAATCTTGATGTTTTTAGACTTCCTATGTGTAGTTTTATTGGATTATAAACAGGGAACATGGCCTGTAAAATCTCTATTTTGAAATTTTATAAATTTTTCCTTGTAGCCAATTACTTGACTGATTTGGGACATATAAAATGCAAATTTTTATTTGAAAGAAAGACATTAAATTGATTTATTAATTGCATCATTCAATCCTTTCTATGTGCTTATTTATTTGTTTGTCTATGGGATCTTAATTTTGAAAAGGGTCTATTAAAATTCAATTATACAGTGGTACCTCAGTACTTATTGTTACCTCATTCCGGGATTCATGACAAGTGCTGAAACCAATGAGTACCAAGTAAGCAATGAGTGAAGAATCATTTTCTCTTGTGGGGCAGCGTCGTAACTCATACAAGTTCTAGCAAGTGCGACAAGTCCCAAGTAAGTGCCGAGTGCTGAAACACTTTTTTTCTCATCCATATGCAATGAGTATGGGCTTTGGCAAGTTCTGAAGCTGACAAGTACTGAGGTATGACTGTAATTTTATAGCTTTATTAAACTCTTGTATTTCTAAAAACTTTGTCTTATACATGTAGCAGCTACATCAGTTGATGCCTATTGACTATCATTGAATCTTTATAGATTTTCTTTTACAACTCCCCATTTTTATTCTCATTAGTGTTTTTAACATTTTTTTAATTTTTTTTATTTTAAATTATGTTTATTCTATTAGAGTTGTCTCAATTTTTTCCCCTTTGCCCTCCCCACCCATCCCACCCCACCCCTCTCTCTCACTGTCAATTCCCACTCTGTTGTCCATGTCCATGAGTCATTCACACATGTTCTTTGTTTAGTCCCTTCTTCTTCTTTACACCATTGTCTTCCTCCCCCTTCCCCTCTAGTTACTTTCAGTCTGCTCCATGTTTCCTTGTCTGTGGTTTATTTTGTTTGTTAGTTTATTTTGTTGAATATATTCCACTTATAGGTGAGATCATATGGTATTAGTCTTTCACTGACTGGCTTATTTCACTTAGCATAATATTCTCCAGTTCCATTCATGTTGTCTCAAAAAGTAGGAGTTCCTTCTTTCTTTCTTTTTTTTAATGCAGATTGATTTTATTTATTTTTTAAAATGTCAAGATCCATTATAAAAATATTAAAAAATTTAAATCCGTTATAGAGTCTCAGCAATTAAAACAAAATGGCACCAGCAGAGAAATAATCAAGTAGATCAATGAAATAAAATAAGCATTGTAGAAACAAACATATATATCTGCCTAACAATGTAATATATGATTAAATTGATATTTCAAATCAATGGAGAAAATAAGGCTTATTCACCCAATAAGGTGCATGAACCACTACTACTTGAAATAAGACAAATATAGAGCTCTATTTCACACATTATACAAATAATACTCAGGTAAGTTAAAAATCAATATGTAAAATCTAAGAAGTTTTAGGAGAAAATACAAAATAATATTTTTCTTACCCTGAAGTAACATATTCAAACCCAGAAGCTATAAAGTAAGATATTGATAATATGACCATATTAAACACTTAAGACTATATAGTAATATATGTATGAAAAAGTTAGAAAACAAGTAATAGACTAAGAAAGTATTTACAACACATCTAAAAAAGGGTTAATAGTTTTTTTGTTTTTTTAAGTAAAAAATTCTACAAACATTTAATCAAAAAATAGATAAAGTATACCAAAAAGTCATTTAAAGCTTTTTTTAAAATAATAGAAATAAGCAAGAAAACTACAAAAACAAGTTTAGTTTCAACAGATAATAAAGTAAAAATTAAAATAACACATCATTGTCACAATCAGGTTAAGTATTAAAAATATTGGTAATATAAAGTATTGGTGATTGTGAAAGGAACTGGGTATTCATAGATTCTTTTTCTTCATTTTCTTAAAGCAGTCCCTTTACCATATTTTGTAGTGCTGGTTTGCTGGAGGTGTATTCTTTTAGCCTTCTTTTGCCTGGGAAACTCCTTATTTCGCCTTCCATTTTAATTGAGAGCCTTGCTGGGTAGAATAGTCTTGGTTGCAGACCTTTGCTTTTCATTACCT